CGCGCAGCGGGGGGGGGGGAGGGGGGGAGAGGGGGGCAGGGCGACGGGGCCCGCGCATACGTGGTGCGCTCTGGGTCATGCGCGGTTGTCTAATCGCATTCCAAAATTCGCGCGCCGCGCTGACGGCCGTGCACGTCTGGCGCGCGCTGTCACTGGACAGCGGCGCTGCCAATTGCCGCCGCCTCCGCCGTGGCCCTCGCTGGCCCAGCCCGCCCAGGAGCCAGCCTGGGCCCCTGAGTCGGCCTTGCGCTTGTCCGGCCGGGGCTGCTGGGCCTGATGGGCGGTCTGGCCCTGGCCCGAACGGTGGGTCCAGCTGCGCTCGGGCGTCGCCGGGGCCCGGGCTGGGCCGGCCGTTCCAGCTTCGCGGCGGCGGGGGGTCCGCGGGAGGCCTTGTCGTCGAAGTCAGATTCCTGCTCCGCCTGGCGGGGCAGCACCTCGTCGAGGGCGATGGCCGCCTGATTCACCTGTGGCGCGTCGGTCCGATGCGCGAGCGATCGCGCGGGAGAGGGCGGCGCGGCGGGCCATGAAGCCGGCGACCCCCGCAGCGGCCCTCCGCCCAGGAGCGGCGGGTTACCTGGTCGTAGATCACGCCCCAGTGAGTCTTGCGGTTCCTGAGCTGGGCGCGGGCAGCCGCCTGCGAAACGAGCAGGCCGCCCGCCGGCGGGGCGACGTGACGGCGCGCGCGGGAAAGCCATGGGGAAGATCTGTTTGTGGGCCAGCGCCGCGGCGAAGTCGAGCTGCCTCGCGAAGGCAGCAGCCAGCGCGCACCTGCGCCGCCGAGGGGGGCCGCGGGGCGCGCAGGGGGCGGGCGGGCGGCTGGATTCTGGTCGAAGGCGAGGTGCCATTCGGTCAAGTTCATCAGGCGGGGCTCGGCCCCACTGCTTGCGCCCGCCTGGGCGTCGCCATCGGCCCGAGGGCGGCCGATGCCAGAGGCGCCCATGGGGAGCCACGAAGGGGGCAGCCAGTCCCTTCTTTCTCTTCAGGCGTTCGACCTCCGATGCAAAGGAGTCGACGCGCAGGGCCCTTGCGCGGCGGAGCCGGACGGGCGGCCGCGTTCCGGGCTGGGGATAGGAAGACGCGCCTGGGCCACACCGAGGTGGGCAAGTTGGCCAAGTCGACGGCGCTTAACGTCGCCTGAACGTCCACATGGACCGTGGGGGCGTCGTTCCTGGTGAGGACGCTCGTAAGCTCTGACAGCGGATCCGCCGCGGGCGCCGCCGGGCCGGTCGACGGGGCAGCCCCGGCGGGTGCAAATTCTTTCTTCGCCACCTGAAAGGATCGCGCGCTCGGACAGAGGGCTGCCGCGGGAACGGGCGCGCCCAAACCTGGATAGCCTGAGATAAGGCATGCGCCTTCCCAGGCGGGATGCCGGGCAGCTTCCCCGCGTCCACATGCACCAGGGCCTGCGGCGTGTACGCCTGCCGCGCGGGGAAGGGGAGGGCGGAGGCGCGCGCGCGGGCGGCGCGCCGGCGGGGGCGCGCCTCTGCTTGCTGTAGTAAACCAACCAGCTCCTTAACCATAGCATCCGGATCCGGAACCCCGGGCTGCATTGCATGCTTGGCAAGAAAAGACAGCATAGCACCGGCTGCCTCCATAGCGGAGCTGCGCGCACAGCGAGGGGAGGCGCAAACCTGCCTCTCGTTGTTCTTCATGCGCGCCGCAGCCTGGTGCGAGTTTCCTTGCTCGGGCAACAGGGCAAGTGGTCTGGCGATTGGAAGAAAGCCCCGCACGGAGTAACCGAGGGAAGACCGCGACCGCGAATGGGACCGAAAGCAAGGGGCCGCGTCGAGAGGGCGGACCGTCCAGAGGTCCGAGCGCGGGAGCAACCAAGCTCGTGCGCTGCGCCCGTAACACGAAATGCGGGTCACGGGAAGGGCTGGCGGAGTGGCGGGGCCTAGGAGTCAATTTGGGCCACGCCGCCCGGTCCGTCCGAGGCCGTCGGCCGGTCGCCGTCGGCCGCCGCCGCGGGCGCGCGCGTAGCACCCAGCGGGCCCACCGCCACCGGGCTAGGCAGGCCTCAGAAGGCACGGAACGGGCTGCCCACACGCCGGCCGGGTGCACCCGCCGGACGGAATCCGTAGACCGCCAACGGTACTGATCGGACCGCCCTGAAAATTCTGCTGCCCGGCACACGTGGTGGGCACCAGGCGACGACGCGGCTCTAAGGTACCGGAACCTGGGCCCGCACAGGGCCGTCCTGTGAGCATTGCGCAGGCCCCAGTGGGCTTCTTCGCGCGGGCGGCCGCAAGGCTCTAGTGAGCCGGCACGCAGCTCCGGTGCAGAGGGCGAAAGGGTCCCACTGGACCCACGGGTCACGTCCAGCGATCGTGCCGGTGCGGGCAGGACCCGTGGGCCTGCACGCTGCCCTTGTGCGGAGGGGGGGCTGTCCCAGTGGACCCACCAGTCACGTCCAGTGATAGTGACGGTGCAGACAAGGCCCCATTGGGCCTGCCCGCTGCTCCGCTGCAGGTGGAGAAGGGGTCGAGACGACGACGACCAACAACGAACGACGACGGCTAAAATGGAAGACAAAGGACGAACGACGACAAGGACGATGACGATGACGACAACGACGACGACGACGACAACGAAGTCAACACCGAACGACGGCCGACACACGACGACGACGAAGACGAAAGACGATGGCTGACGACGACGTCGTCGACGACAACGACGACGACGACGACGGACGAAGGACGACGGACGGTGGATGACAACGACGACGCAAGACGCACAACTGACGACGGACGACGACCTCGACCACGACGGGCGGGCGGACCCTAAAAAGCGAGTCGGGTCGAGCGGGCTCAACCCTAATGGGTGGTCGGGTCGAGCGGGCGGGACATGAAAGTATGTTGCATAGTCAAAGTGGCACGTAGGATTCTCAACATGCAGGTCGGAATGGGCCGGAGGATTGAAACGGGCGGGTCGGGCCGAGCGGGCGAGATTTTAAACATGATGCGTAACGTAAGACCCCTAACTGGCGGGTCGGGTCGGGCGGGCGGCACATTCAAGTATGATGCGTAATCCATGTGGCTCGTAAAAACCCTGACGGGGGGGTCGGGCCAGGCGGGCGATCCTTAACGGGCGGGTCGGTCGGGCGGGCGGGACATGAAGGTATGAGGCATAATCAAGTTGACACGCAAAACCACCGACGGGAGGATCGGATCGGGCAGGCGGACCCTAACGGGCGAGTCGGGTCTGGTCGGGTGGGCGGGACATTAAAGTCGTCGTCGTCGTCCGTTGTCGTCGTCCTCGCCGTCGTCGTCGTCCGCCGTCCGTCATCCGTCGTCCGTCGTCCGTCGTCTGTCGCCGTCGTCGTCGTCCGTCGTCGGTCCTCTGTCCTCGGTCCTCGGTCGTCGGTCGTCGTCGTCGGTCGCCGGTCGTCGGTCGTCGTCGTCGTCGTCGGCGTCGTCCTCGCCGTCGTCGTCGTCCTTCGTCCGTCTTCGTCATCGTGTTCGCCATGCGTTGCTCGTCGTCGTCGTCGTGGACTGTCGTCGTCGTCGTCGTAGACCATCATAGGTCGGCTGTCTTCCGTCGTCCATGACCCGTCGTACGTCGTCGTCGTCGTCGTCGTCGTCGTCGTCGTCGTCGTCGTCGTCGTCGTCGCCGTCGTCGTCGTCGTCGTCGTCGTCGTCGTCGTCGTCGTCGTCCGTCGCCCATCGCCCGTCATCCGTCGTGTGTCGTCCGTCGTCCGTCGTCGTCGTCGTCATGCGTCGCCCGCCGCACGTCGTCTGTCATCTGTCGTCTGTCGTTGTCCTCCTCCTCCTCCTCCTCCTCCTCCTCCTCCTCCGGCTCCCCCTCCCCCTCATCCTCCTCCTCCTCCTCCACCTCCTCTTTCTCCTCCTCCTCCTCCTCCTCCTCTTCCTCCTCCTCCTCCTCCTCCTCCTTCTCCTCCGCTGGCGCTGGTGCTCGCAGTCGTCGCCTGCCAGCATCAAGTCGGAGGATTTTGCATCGGGGGGGAGGGGTGCTGGGCCCCCCCCTGCAGACAGGGGGACTTGCAGTGTACACAGAAAGTGCTCGTTCCAAAACCACAATTCCTCGTGAATTACCTTGCTTCCGCGCTCCCGAAGCCACCATCCTGAGCAAAATACGACGCGCCTGCGCCTTCGAAGCCAGTCGCTTGCAAACCACGGTGCCGTCGCGCTCGTGGAGCCACAATCCCACGCCAATTACATCACCTTCTCGCTCCCGAGGCCTCAACCCACCATACATTAAAGCAAACTTGCGACCCCGAAGCCACAAGCCCTAGTACATTACGATTCGCTCAGCGGTCCCGCCCCCGAGGCCACAACCCCGCGTAGACGACAACAAGTTCGCACTCCCGAAACCACGAACTCACCCCACGGAGGCTGCCCACAAAAGCGCCATCCCCTCGCCAGAACAGAGAATGTCACTTTTGTGTGAAGATTCATGATCGGGGGGCGCCTGTCGGCCCCCCGTAGTTTCCTGAGAATTCGGCTCTGGACGCCCGAGGCCACGACGCCTCGAAAAATAGCTGTGGACGTGCGCTCCCGAAGCCGCGAAACCTAGTAAACTACAATACTGATCTTCCTCCTCCTCCTCTTCCTCCTCCTCCTCCTCCTCTTCCTCCTCCTCTTCCTCATCCTCCTCCTGCTCCTGTTCCTCCTCGTGTTATTCCTACTAACATTATTATTATGATTAGTTGTAGTAGTCTGACTTTCTTATTCGTCGTATTCTTCGGATTCCTCTGTTTCGTTGTGGTCTTCGCCTTCAGCTTCGTCTTCGTCTTCATGTTCGTCTTCGTCTTCGCCCTCCTCCTCCTCCTCCTCTTCATCCTCCTCCTTCTCCAAGCCTCCTCCCCTTCCCCCTCCCCCTTCTCCTCACCGTATTATATGTTATGTTCCTCCTCCTCCTCCTCCTCCGTCTCCACCTCCTCCTCCTCCTCCTTCTCCTCCTTCAACTCCCTTCCTGGTCGCTCTCCTCGAACCGCCTCCTCATTCTCCGCAAATCCCCTCATCCCCCATCGGCGCAGGCGCCTGAATATCTGGTTGATAGGGAGGGTCATGATCTTCTGCAGTTTCTTGTTGCTAATCGCCATGGTTCCTCGGCAGGCGGGCATTGAGCGCCCAGCGACCGGCAGAATAGAGCGAGACCCCCACCATGCCCCGAAAGGGCCCCGAGAGGACCCCCGAAAGCCACAATGAGTCCTGAAAAGTTTTACAAGGCCTCACAGAGACGCCCAAAGAAGCCCTCAACAGACGAGGAAGAAAACTGCACGAAGGCAGCACGGCGGAAAGCGGCAAACATTACATAGGACATGGGAAAACGCACATGTCCTCTTCTGGGGGGTCGGCAGAAAGGCGTGAACTTCTTCAGTTCCAAGCATTGCTCGTCCTTAGGGTTTCCTACTCCTTTTCTAACTGAGCAGTATCGTGAGGTGGAGGGCTCAGGGTGAAATACAGATGGGCTCTTGCACCTCGAAAATCAATCCGTCATGTGATTCACCTTTCGCAGATTCAGGCCTCGAAAATTCCTCGAGACGGCATCTCAGGTTTCACCCTTTGCCCTCCACCTAAAGAAGATGCTCGGTCTAAGGAACTGGGCCTGGCTGGCGGTCTGGCAAATCCGTCCTCGCCGCCGCCGCCCCGGCGCCGCCTCGTCGCCGCCGCCCGTTGTCTTGGACAGGCTGGCGGTCAGGAGGAGCCATGCTCGCCGTCGCCCCGCGTCGCCGCCTGATCACCGCCCGTCGCCTGGCCCTAGCGGGCGGTGTGGCGATTCCGTGTTCGACGTCACCGCCCCGCCCCGTCGCCGTCTAGATTGCACGGCATCGATTTTCCTGTCTTAAATGAAATTCAATTATTCCACCCTCACGAGGCCGGAAGTATCGGAAGTATCGGAAGTATACGATCCTGCCCCTTCGCTTATTTGAAAAAGGAACCCATCATTGCCAAAGATCACGATGTTCACACACCATCATCAATGTTCAAGAAATGCTTGCACGAAATGTAGGCGTCGGGCGCGCATGTCGCAATCCTTCAAAAATCGACGGCGTCGTAAGGAATTCAAAATCGAGGTTCCCGAAATCCGATTTTAAGATTACAAAAACGAACATTTACGCGCGCATTCCTGCGAAATCTTAGGCAAACCATTCAGTTTGTTCCCTACCTAGGCTCTGCCTAGAAGGGTTCTTACTCTCTTGGCTTAAAGGGCCGGGCAGTGGGAACCGGCCCGGGCGGTTCCCCCAGTATCCGCCCCGCAGTTCCCCCAGTTACGTCCCCTTAGCTTAGCGTTGCTTATCTCATCTTAGCTCAGCTTGTTTCATCTTAGCTTAGCTTAGCTTCATCTTAGTTCAGGTTTATCTTAGCTTACCTTCATCTTAGCTTCGCTGAGCTTTAGCATAGCACAGCATAGCATAGCATAGCGTAGCATAGCATAGCGCAGCATAGCATATCATAGCATAGCCCTGCATAGCATAGCATAGCGCAGCATAGCATATCATAGCATAGCATAGCGCAGCACAGCACAGCACAGCACAGTATATCATAGCATAGCATAGCATAGCGCATCTTAGCATGGCATAACATATCATAGCATAGCACAGCGCAGCATGACATGGCATAGCTTAGCATAGCATCGCATAGCATAGAGCATAGCATAGCGTAGCGCAGCATAGCCTAGCATAGCATAGTATAGCATGGCGCAGCATAGCGCAGCATAGCATGGCATGGCATGACATAGCATAGCAACTAATGCTGCTTTCCTAGGGGCTCCAACTTCTAGGTAGGGTCGCACTGGGGTAATTCAAACATGTTCGTCACATGAGTCCACGCGCGCCTCCCGCGCGCGCATGTCGGGTTCACTCGAACGCTGCTGCAATTGCTGGGGGGGCACGATCCCTGCCAAATAATTCCACGCGGGCCACTCGCGCGCGTCGGCCGCGCGCGCATAACGAGATCCTTCCTAAACCTTCACCACCGGCACACGGACACCATCATCGTCTCCGGCGTGACCAGCATCGGCGACGTCAGTGGCCTTGCCGAGATGATCGTCACCATCATCGCTACTATTATCAGCATGTCCGCCTTTGCCGACGTCACCATCATACAGGTCTCGTGCGAGCCGCGCTGGGAAATCTCGAGCGGACAGCGCCAAGGCGGCCACGTCGGTCGCGCCAGACGCTGCGACGAGCGCGCGGAAGCATGCGCGCGGCCGCGCCAGCCAACGCCAAATAATCAGCGCAATCGCCCCCGCATGGGTTGACAAACCAAGTTGAGCGTGGACAGGTGGGATGATGCAGCTTAGAGGAGTTGCCGCAGCCTCAAGAGGCTGCCCCCGTCTCGGAGCAGGGAGCGGCATTGCGCGCCCAGGACGTGTTGGAACTTGGCCAGCTCACCCCGAAGCATCAGGAGATAACCCAGGTTGTCTTCTGCGGGGGAAGGGGGGAGGTGCCGGCCGATATCCCAACCTGATCGGCAACCCCACCTTTGCCCGCGCGCACCAATACTGCGCGCCACAGTCGAATCTGCGCAACCGACAAGGTCAGGTTATCTGGGGGAAAGGGGAGGGGTCGGGCCCGATAACTCAGGTTAATGTCGGACCACTAAAAAAGAGCCCCCAGAGGACGACGAGCCTGGTGATGGCGACGGGGAGGAAGGCAATGCCATTCTGGCGGCGATGCAAGAGGGACGATGTCCGATGTGCAGGTCCAGGGGGTTCCGCCTGTACAAAGGAGGCCATATCTCGTGTGCGCAGGTGGACGAGGACGGCAGCGTTTGCGAGGTGTGCGAGGACTATATCGAGCTGTCCCCGATGTTCTGCTGTGAATGCTGCAGAGGTGCGGTCTAGAAGAAGTGCGTGAACGAGCAGATCAACTCTGGCGATTGAGCAACAGGCGAGAGTGGCGCTAGAAGAGATTGCTACAGTGTCGTCAAAGGCCCCTTGATGGTCGTGTTGGTCCGTTTCCGAGTCCCCTTTCCTGCGACGTTTGTTGTCGCTCATTCCTGGAGCCCTAGAGTCCTAGAGTCCTCCTTTCTGCTCTGTCCTACAGCAGGTTCGGGTCTTATCGACCCTGGCGTTGGTCCCTGACACCGCGGGAATCGCTCAACCTTGAACAATCCGCCGTTTCAAAAAAAGCTGGATCACTCAATGATGGACCGATTCTGGGTCTCTGGCGGCATGCCGAGTTGAACGCCGACGGCGGAGTCGCCGCCGGTCGACACGACGCGACCCCACCCCGAAATCCGTCGTAATGGGGTCGCAAAACAATGCACAATAGCTCATCCAGTGGCGCAAGGCGCATGGCAGCCACGTGCTGATATAGCCATGGCAGCCCGAATACGAATTCGCCGGCCCAACGGGCCAGAGGCGTGCTAAGATCTCCGGTAACTGGTAAACAGTATTTCTGGTTCGCGCGCGCGTGGCGGCCCCCGGGGGTCCCTGGATCAAAAGTACCCCGAGAGGAGCCCGGGACACGCCCGAGACACGCCCCGGACACTCCCCCAGATCCTCCAGGATCGCCCCAAGAGGGCCCCAAGAGGCCCCCAACACAATCCAAGAGAGGTCCGAGACACCCGAAGATCGCTCCACGGCGCCCAAGATGGCCTCCAGACGGCCCAAGAGGTCCCCAAGATGACCCAAGAAGCCTCCAAGATGCCCCAAGAGGCCTCCAAGAGAACTCCCAAGAGGGCCCCAAGAGGCAAAAAACCTGTGCTTGTCCTTTGGTTTTGGACAGATTTGGGCGTTTCAACCTTTTCGGTTCCCCGACGCCCCTAAACGGCTCAAGAGGCCTCCAAGATCGCCCAAAGAGGGCCCAAGAGGCCCCCAAGAGGGCCCCAAGACGGCCCAAGACGGCTCCAAGACGGCCCCAGAGGCCTCCAGGACGGCCCAAGAAGGCCCCCAGAACGCCCCCAACACGGTCCAAGAGAGGTTCGAGACGCCCGAATATCGCTCCACGACGCCCAAGATGGCCTCCAGACGGCCCAAGGCGTCTCCAAGATGACCCAAGAAGCCTCCAAGATCCCCAGGAGGTCTCCAAGTGCATTCCCAAGAGGGCCCCAAGAGGCAAACAACCAATGCTTTTTCCATAGGTTTTGGACAAATTTGGGCGTTTCAACCTTTTCGGTTCCCCGACGCCCCTAAACAGCTCAAGAGGCCTCCAAGATCGCCCCAAGAGGGCCCAAGAGGCCCCCAAGAGGGCCCCAAGACGGCCCAAGACGGCTCCAAGACGGCCCCAGAGGCCTCCAAGACGGCCCAAGAGGGCCCCAAGAACGCTTCAAGAACGCCCCAAGAGGGGGTTCACGAAACAGAATTTCGAGCTCTCGGCCCTTAGAGGCCCCCGGGAGGCCCCAAGACGCCCCCAAAGGCCCCAAGAGGCCCCCAAGAGGCCCTCAAGAGGCCTCAAGAGGCCTCCAAAAGGCCCTCTGGAGGCCTCCAAGAAACCCTCAGGAGGCCCCCAGGACGCCTCCAAGACTCCAGCCAGACGCGACTTGGGAAACGCGGGTCGGGGTGGTCCTCCTCCCCCGCGTTCGGCCTCCAGCCTCGAGCCTCGACCCTCCACGACGACGACGCCGGCGGGCGGCGGCGGCGGGCGGCGGCGGCGGGCGGCGGCGGCGAGAGGAGGATGAATTGTTGGCGGCGGCCATCGCCGCCGCCAACACCTAGAAGCCCCATGAAAAAACAACAACAAATGTATCGACAACTACACAGCTCCCGACGCCGCAGCTCCACACTGCAAACGACCACTCGGACAGGCGACCACGGTGCGACATTATGGGCCGGCGGAATGAGCGAAGCGATTAAATAAACAGTTGCGACCCCCAGGGACAGGAACGGTGCTTTCTCGCTAGCCTCGCTCGACGATGGGGTCACTCAGAGGTGTTGGAGCACTCGTGCACACGCCTGAGGCTCGAGCATCGGAGGCTCCAGGACAGAGAGTGGCACCATCAAGGGGGGGGGGAGGGCAAATCTCCGACGATCTGATCTTTCAATCTGGGCGAGTTTCCTCGATTTCGGCATCCAAGGGCCATTCCTTCGGCGGTGGACAACCCTCCCTTTAGTAAACCTCCCCTTAATGAAAACGGCCCGGGACCAAAACCGACG